CGCAAATCCGTCGCTGATAATTCCCTCGCAAATCCGTCGCTGAAAAATCCATCGCAAATCCGTCGCTGAAAAATCCCTCGCAAATCCGTCGCTGAAAGTGTCCGTCGCAAATCCGTCGCTGAAAATGTCCGTCGCAAATCCGTCGCTGATTTCCCTCGCAAATCCGTCGCTGATCTATCGCTGAAAGTGTCCGTCGCAAATCCGTCGCTGAAAGTGTCCGTCGCAAATCCGTCGCTGATTTCCCTCGCAAATCCGTCGCTGAAAGTGTCCGTCGCAAATCCGTCGCTGAAAGTGTCCGTCGCAAATCCGTCGCTGATTTCTGTCGCTGATCCGTCGCTGATAGCATTACCTACGACATTTTGACCGACGGAGTATCAGCGACGGATCAACGACGGAAAGGACTTTCAGCGACGGATCAGCGAGGGAATTTTCCCTCGCTGATACCCAGCATTTTTGTAGTGGAAACTGTTTCATGTATTTCTCTAAAATTAAAATAATGAAGATGATAATATCCATGATTAACATCCTCCACAATAAAAATGGTTAATCAACCTCTCATAATTACAAAAAAATGAACAAAATAAAAAATTATGATTGGTTGRATGAGGTTTTYACGRTTTTTACAAATTGAGTGGTTTTTATTTGAACCCACCCCTATGTATGTATGTATGTATATATATATATATATATATATATATTACTGTTTAGAGGAGTGATCAAATGCAAACCGTGCAAACCACCCTCATCCGTCGATTTCATTGTTTAATCTTATGAAATTTTTTCATAAAAATTGTTTAATCTTGTGAAATTGTTTCATATAATACTTAATGAAATTTTAATAAAACTATTTCATGTATTTCTGTAAAATTAAAATAATGAAGATGATAATATTCATGATTAACACTCTACACAATAAAAAAATAATTAATCAACCTCTCATAATTATGTAGATTCAAACACTCTACACAATAAATTGAGATATTTATAAAAATGATGAGAGTTCAATTATTATGATTTGAATATTCATGGAAGATAAATATGGTTCATTAATTATTATCAATATTTTATATTAAAAAACAATAAAAACTACTATGAAATCACATATCAATCAAATAAAATGGACGGTTGAAATTGGGTTGCATTTGTTGCACAAATATCAAGGATTGTATAATAACCAATATATATATATATATATATATAGTACTGTTTATGTATTTTCTTTGTCTTGAAAGTTTTTAGCTTCATGTATACTTCAAGGTGACATTCCAACTGAAGTGTGTGGAGAGAGCTAACTCCTGGTTGCCCCATCTGCACTCAAATACTTTTCTACAATTTTTTTTAGTGTTTATATTATTCTTCTTGCTCTAATCTATTTACATTCCTTTTCAGCCCCTATACCATCATTTAATATCCCATTCAACCCTTCTAATAGTTCAACTAACATGCGAAGGATCGTATGGGAACGCGAGTTCAGGTAAGAAGCGTAAGAAGGGATTTGGATCCTTGATCATTTTTTATCTCTTGCCCACCCATGAATTGAGCTTCTCACAGGAATTAAACTTGGTGCATCTCATCTTAATGTGCATCCGAGGGTGGACATTCACTTATTACGCTTCTCACCTTAACCTGCGTTCTCATCGGAACCCTTAACTAATAACATTACACTGTTATTTTATTTTTACTTGTTGTCATAGTCGATGGTGCAATAATTTTACAAAAACTACCACTGAGATATATCTTACCAAACGTTAAAGATGAAAAGTAAATTCAAAAACATGTAGCTTAAATGATACAAGCTCAAATCATTTGATTGTTGTAATGGTATTAATTCACTTGTTTACAGTGTTCTCAATTCGGTAATAGTTAGTACAACAATCAGCAAAATTATTGTATGAAAAATAATATATTTTACACTGTTGTTATGGTCATGGTAACGGTTTTTTGCTTTGTTATTCTTGAAAACATATAAACCATGCACCCTTTCACACCTTTATATTACTTATAACATGTAAGAAAATTCATCTTTTATACGGTTTTGTTATGTCATCTGTGTAAGAAAATAGTGCATTCTTACGTTGTTGTTGTTGTATTTGCAACTTTCGAAAATGTGGTTTTTTACAGTGTAGTACAACAGTGTACAAAAATAAACGCACATCAGCTTCAAGTGCTTCTTACTTCCTTTGTAAAAGCATGTAAAAACGTATATTTCAACAAGATAAAACACCTTATTTTTACTAGCGCAAACATAACAGCATATAAATTTCAACTTAAGGGGTTGAAGTGGAATTAACCAAAAGTAAAGGGGCTTTACTCAAAAAGTATTCCTACGACATGGTTATGAACATGAGCAATCTTGACATCGAAGCTACCATACCCAACCCTCTACCATACATATAATATTGAATACGAAGGTTAGATTTCATGTTTATATTGCATTAATTCGTTCTTCCATTGTAATCGCAACAATAAAAAACAAAATACGTTATGTTTGCATGATTGCATGATTACTTCGTTAGGGTTTCATTTACGTCTTATTGAATCGAGTTCGTGAGAAATTAAAAGGAAAACCAAAAACGAAACAAAAAGCAACGTACAGAAACTACAGAAAGTGAACGACAAGCGCTGTGACGCAGTGGTTTAAGGTCATGACAACGTTATGGAATATCGCATCTCTGCAGGGTTCGATTTCAAATATAAACAACCGTTGAATTTATCAGAGTTGATTTCTTGCAATCATAATTTACCAGATTTTTTTTTTAAAGAAAGTGATTTGTCTGGGACAATAATTTAAAGCGTGACCAAAGGGTGCATTATAGGTGAAAAGGAGCAATCTACAAAATAGTACGAAGCACTAAAGGTGGAAGAGAGATGAAGAATATAATACCTTCCCAAATCCTTAGAACAACTCCGATGCACCTCACCATTGCACATGCTACATAATATCTCACACGACCAACTTTGCCTTCTTTATATCCCTTCATATTCTTTCAAAACTTCAAGTTAACCATCTTCACAAACGGTAAGAGGACTAGCCGATTCGATGACTTGGTGTAACGATTGTACCGACACACAACCGCCAGTTACTATACGGAAACTTCCATCATCTAACGATAACAACCGTGTCATGGATAGTAACAAGACCATGCCATGTCCTTCCTGTGGTCATCGGATCAAGTGCTACGAAAAGGTTTGGTTTCGTTTATGTATATATGTTTGAGGGTTTTACGGTTTCTTCTTATTTGTTCACTGTTTGATTAATTAGGAGATCATATCTAGCAGGCTCGAATTCATGACCTTCCGGGATTGCCTGCTGGAGTGAAGTTTGATCCAAGTGATCAAGAGCTTCTTGAGCATTTGGAAGCGAAGGTGCGTTTAGATGCGCATAAGATCCATCCGTTGATCGATGAGTTCATTCCTACACTAGACGGCGAAAATGGAATTTGCTATACTCATCCTGAGAAACTACCAGGTAAGAAAACAGTTTATTAACCATCTATTTTCAAAATCATTACCTTCATATGATCTTATATTTAATCGTTTAACACAACCGAAATTAATATCGCCAACTTTTGATTTAAGAAACGACCAATTTGTCTATTAAAAGAAGATCAAAACTCAGATGATTTCCTTATCTAGCATATGATTAAACTTAACATAGTTTGAGAACTTGGTCATAGGAGTGAGTAAGGAGGGTTTGGTTCGACATTTCTTTCATAGACCATCAAAAGCATACACAACCGGAACCCGAAAGCGAAGAAAGGTGCACAGTGAAACCGATGGGGGCGAGACTAGATGGCATAAAACAGGCAAGACTAGGCCAGTTCTTCTTCAAACAAAAGTGAAAGGCTACAAGAAGATTCTTGTACTGTATGCCAACTATGGGAAACCAAAAAAGCCAGAAAAAACCAATTGGGTAATGCATCAATACCATTTGGGCAACAACGAAGATGAGAAAGAAGGTGAGTTAGTTGTCTCCAAGATTTTCTACCAAACACAGCCTAGACAATGTGGTAATTCTAGCATTGTTAAAGATTCTCTTGTGAAACCAAATGGTCGAAATGTACATGAAGGGTCTCATGCTACTAATAACATCACCACCTTCATCGAGTACTTCGGTCCATCGTTCGTTTCTTTCCAACAAAATGTTGAACATGCCCGTGATTTGAATTTGCATGACGGATCATCTGTTGTNNNNTATATATATATATATATATATATATATATATTTATATATATATATATATTTATATATATATATATATATATATTTATATATATATATATACACGAGGATAAAATGCAAACCAATCTATTTATACAAACCATAAAAACCGTCGATTTCATTGTTTATTTTATTGAAATTTTTTCATGAAGTTGTTTAATCTAATGAAAATGTTTCACATATTTTTGTTTTCTAGGTAAAAGTTAAATCATTTCATGTGTTTCTCATTTTAATGAAATTTGTTTACTAAAATTAATAGAATAAAGATGATAATGTACACAACTATTTGAAACAACATCATCATATTAAACAATTTTATGAAAAACTTTACTATAATAAACAGTGAAATCCACGGTTTTCATCGTTTCTACAAATGTATTGGTTTACAAAATATCCTATATATATATATATATATATATATATATATATAATGGTACAAAAGCAGATGAAGAATTGATCTACTTTCCCATGTGAAAAAGAATTTAGGTCCAAATGTGGGATGAGTTAATTATGGTTAGTTTTATATGGAAAACATATCTGGGAAGAATAAGGAGAAGTGTCTCTTTTGGTGGAAGGTAAAGAACAATAATCTTCAATAACTTGAAGATCAATATACATGTATAATGAGTATAAGATATTTTAGGGTTTCACTTATTGTTTACTGGGTAACTAATTACTTATTGTTTCTTATCGTGTAAGAGAAATATACTTGGTTATTGATGATGTTTATTAATTACTACCAACAAAATCGTTGAATCGTGTTGTTGATCAAAAGTCTTCACTGGTAAATGACAGTTTCATTCTAATCCGTTAACGTTTATCGGATAAAAAACGTTTGTAGCATGTTATGTTGATGACTGGTAATCTTGTCCAGTAAAGTAATTTTAGAAATTAGGAAAATTACTATTATTTAACTTGTATCTTTTTATCAAGTTTTATGTGTTTTTTTTCTAGATTCACTTTTGATACAAAAAATCACAATTTTCATCCAATATCACATGTGATATCCACAATCAATTCATATATGATAGTTGTGTGATAATTGTAGATATTTTTGTTAATAATATGTGATTATGTATGTTTACATTTATAATTTTTTTTGTATAGTAAATATTATTACATGTGATAATACATCACTTATATTCAGACATATATTATTATACATGATATGTACAAAAACTCATATAGTTAGATTATATGTGATACATAATAAATCATATGTTAAAAGAAGTTAATGATATGTGATTCAAAACGTGAATAAAAAAAATAGAGAAAAAATGGTAAAAAAAATAATGAATGATTATGGATATCACATGTGATATTTGATGAAAATTGTGAATTTATTTTTATCAAAAATGTATTTAGAAAAAATAAACTATATAAAACTTGATAAAAAAATTATGAATTGATTAAAATATAAAAGAAAAAAATAAATCTAGAATATATAATGAGATTTTTAGGATTTTATCCTATTCAAAATGGTAATTATCTTAGTTTCTAAAATTGTTTTCCATTTTTTATTAACGGTATTTTTTTAATTAATATATTATGTGGCTCATATTTTTTCTTGCATTCTCGCAAATTAGTTTATTTCTCGTATGATCCTCCCTCTTTATACCACAAGTGATCAAGATTATGGAGTTTTCGAATTGGGCTAATTTACAACCCGTCTGCTTTTATCCTATTTATAGGGTTTGATTTAAAAGTAACCTTATAAAAGACGCAACGAAAATTATAACTTGATTTAATACATATTACTTCCTTTAGAAAAGTTTTCACAAAAGAAATTTTTAGCAGATCCAGTGATACAACTAAAACTGAATTAAACAAAGCATAGGATGTTAAGAAAAATATCTCTAGGTTTGTAGAGAGAAATCTTGCAGCACAAAAGATCAAGTTAGGTTTCCTCTATAGCAGTCCACACAAGAACAAGTTTTGGATCCAATTGAGTACTAGCTCCAAACCCCTTATCAAGGCCTAATAACGGTTTTATTTAATTTTATTATCTTAATAAAATTATATGTAAATACATTTACAAATAAAACCATGTAATTATCTAATTATGTTTTTAACACATACTTTAAGTATTTTATTAGAATATTAATTAATAATCAACATGAGATTGTTCGAGTTTCTTAGTATTCTAATAATCATATCGAAACATATCTATTCTTTGTTTGTGACACTGTAGGTTTACATACTCTTTAGCAGTATTGATGTGTGACATGTGTTGTAGACATATAATAACTTACATCTCCAACTTGCACATGACACACATTAACATAGAAGGTGGTAAGCGTTTAGTAATATGTCATCGACTCACCATCCTTAAAGCTACTTAAAATGTGTTTTCTTAAGCGGTTCATTGATTCAGTCAATCATATGTTAGAACCATTCTTCCTTTGCTACACCATATCTTGTTATAAACTTAAGACATAGATCTGACTTATCTTTTGATGTTTAAAATATTTGATTAAACAAGTGCTATTAGTTCTACTAATTCACTTGTCTTGGTCATGTGGTGATATCAAAATATGTCATCAAGGGGCCAAAAAATATATCTCTTAACTTGAAAAGTGCATATCCCATATGCATGTATATGACTCATATACAATTCATGTTATACCCAACGTACCCTTATGATTGCCCGGTTAAGGGAAACTTATACTACATCAAAGCATACACACATATTATGCATTAGATCCCAATGCACACCTCAGGTCTGAGGATCAAAGAATTGTTGGGTCATTTACCAGCATCTTCCTAAATCGAAACGTGGCGCTGACTGCTATTCTATAAGGAAATAAGTTGCGCCTTCTCCACCAGCAATTGCTTTTGGCATAGTGGTAATCGCTTGGATCCTAACAAGTGGTATCAGAGCAGGTCACAGGTTCAAATCCCATGGAGTGCATAATAATGCCAAAGGCATGTTGTGCAGCCATTGACTTCTAGCGAAGATCTTGTTAGTGCTGAAAGATGCTGGGGGGGGGGATTGTTGGTTCATTAACCAGTATCTTCTTAAATCGAAACGTGATGTTGGCTGCTACGCTATAAGGAAATAAGTTGTGTCTTCTCCACCAGCAATTGCTTTTGGTGTAATGGTAAGCGCTTGGATCCTAACAAGAGTGTTCATCATCCTAGGATTCACTATATGACAGCGATCTAAGAAATGATACTGACAGTGGGTCTTGTTCAATGCTTGTGTACCGACAAGCACATGTGACTCTGGTTGCACCAACTGTACATCCAAATTAGACCAAAACTAGACTTCACAATGATCTTATTTTATTACTACTGCGCTAATAATAATTGACAAAGGAAATTTTTAAATAATATGATCATAAGACTGTTTAAGGATAACAAAATATGCTAATATAGAATATAGTGATGTTAATGTAAATACGTATACCCAATATGTCATAACAGATCAACCATAATTTTTTATTGTTCCAAATAAATTTAAAGTTTACTAAAATTACTGATCAAATCGAAGTATTACAAAACCTCAAGCGTATAGAACTAGCAAGAGCATCATACTTGCTTTGACTCACAGGTTTGGTGAGAGGATCTGCTGGATTGTCATCTGGTTGAACATAGCATATCTTCATGTCACCTTGATCAATGATCTCTCGAATTAGGTGATACCATCTCAAACTATGTTTGGAGAGCTGACCTGAACTTGATTTCTTTGCCTGTGCTATGGCACCCTCATTGTCGCAACACGTCTCGATAGTGTCACATATGCTAGGAAACGCTCCCAGGTCTGTGATGGATTTTTCATCCTAACAGCTTCTTTTACAGCACCCAACACTGCAATATACTATGATTCTATACTCGAATATGCTATCGTACTTTGTTAATTTCTCTTCCATCTTATAACATTACTATATAACACAAATACATATCTCTATTGCGATTTTAAAGTCGTCTTAGTTAGTTTGGAAACTAGAATATGTATACGTAAACCCTTTCTCGAGATAGATATTGCCATATTTTTTTCATCTCATAAATTTGAGTCATTGATTAATCGAACAAGAATAAAGATAGAATATGTTCTACATGTTAATACCAGCAACAACGAAATTTAAAATAGAATCTTGGGTTGCAAACAATGATTCGATTGATGATGAAAGAAGAGACTTTTGATTGCATTATCTTATTTGGTCTATGTACCGAAACTGAGAACATTCATAATTGGATGTCCAATTCGGACCTATATGACATGATCGATCAATAGAAATACTCCAACAATCCATTTTTGTCATTACCATATTTTAGGTATGAGAATTATCATTTGTGTGCAGCTTGCGAAATGGGAAAGATTAAATGTTCGTCTCACATATCTAAATCTGAACAGAATATTAAGTGTCCATTGCAACTTTTACACATGGATTTATGTAGTCCCATGAGAGTTCAAAACATAAATGGTAAAAAGTATGTCCTTGTGATAGTAGATGATTATTCTCGATATACATGGGTATTTTTCTTAAGATCAAAAGAGGAAGAGTTAGATGTATTGTTGATCCTCTCTCTCAGTGATTTGATGATAATCCCTTTTTCCTTTTGATGTATTTCTGTATCTGTAATTTCAGTTGCAGCGATCATACACTGAGCTTGTTCAGTGATCGCTGAAGAACTTGTTTTGTAATTCATTCAGAGACAACGATACCTCAAGAAAACAACACTCACACCAAAGATCCTTCAGCAAACGT